TGCATGACCACACAGAAACCTAGGTCAGACTTTTTGTTATATATTTCAGTTATTCACATATTTAGTTTGATAAAATGAAATTGTTTTGAATTTTTTACATTCATACAAGTGAGAAAAGATTCAAATTAATCAAGTAACCCAAAGGAATACTTTCCAATAACAATATCTATCACATTATTACAATGCTATTAGAGTTGAAAAACTGCTTTCAGCATAAAATATGTCAACATACATTTTATTTTTGGGTTCAGCTGTGGATACTTAAAATTCCATGCTTAAGTGCTTAACCAGAGTTAATTAAAGCATCATAAGTGCCTAAAGAAAACTTAAGTGGCAACTAACTCAATTCAAAAATTTATTGACACCAAACCAGCCTTACAATATGTTTTTGTTAATACTTCTTTCAATATTAATATCATAATCTGCTTTTTACAGTTCTGATTTAGTTATATATATTTATTATAATGTTTTTGATTAAATTTTCTTAGCAAAAAATAGCTATAGTGGAGTTTTTATCATACCCAGTAAAAGCTTTCAGTTTTATTGACAAGACAATGTGAATGTGAAACATGTAAAAATAAAAGGGGTCAAAGTATGAAATTGCCATTCTATTGTAATTGGTACTTCGAATTGACATAGAAGCTTCACGGTTTGAGATTTTTGAGTGAAACTTTTTTCAAATGGTACCATTCTATGAGGTTCTTTGTTTAAAAAATGTGCAAAATTCGATTCATCGACTTTCAGTTGCTTTTTTTTTATTCAGCTTAGACGAAAAAGATGCGATACTTCGAAAATTCGAGTGATATTTTAATAAGGGTTCCGACGCGGAACTAACGCTGCAGAACAGCTCGCAATATCAATGTTGCGTTTGGAGCGGAGACTGCTAATGACCGCACCGTGCGATTTTGTTTTAAACGCTTTCGTGATGGAAATTTTGATTTGAAGAACGAACGAATTGAAAGAGATGTTGGAAGCCGATCCGAGCCATACTACCCAGGGATTAGCGGCATGGTTTAACGTTACCTTACCAATGATGTTGACTCATATGCGTTAAATCAATAAAATAAAATAAATATGAAAAACGGGGTCCCTTATGATTTGACTGGTCTGCAGAAAGAAACGCGTGTTGAAACTTGTGTTGCCTTGTTGAATCGATACAGATATGACGGAATATTGGATCGAATTGTGACATGTGATGAAAAGTGAATTCCTTACGTTAACCGTAAGAGAAAGAGGCAATGGCTGACCCCAGGTCAAACGCTGCAACAGTGTCCTAAAGCAAAGTTTACCAATAAAAGGTAATGGTAGCTGTTGGTGGTCTCAGCACGTTGTTATTCACTATAGCTTTCTCCGATCTGGTCAAGCAATAACGGCAGATGTCTACTGTGCCGAAATCCGAACAACGAAAGCAAAATTTGCAGTGAAACAGCCTCGACTCATGAATCGATCTTCACCATCATTGCTCCATGATAACGCGAGACCTCATACAGCACGAGAAACCGTTTTAACTCTACAGGAACTGCAATAAGAAACCATTCGTCACCCTCCATATTCGCCAAACCTTGCTCGAACGGACTAGCATTTTTTTCGTGATTTGGACAATTTTCTATGTTATAAAAAGTTTGCTTCCCAGGACAAAATGCTTTGACAGTTTGTAGAATATAGACCACCAGAGTTCTATCACAAAGGCATAAATTACCATATTAGATGGCAGCAATGTATAGATAATAATGGTAGATATTTTGATTAAAAAATATGTTAAATGAAAAAAATTTTTCAGTACAAATTGGCAATTTCATACTTTAACCCTTAATATAAAATAGCTAAGCAAAGGTAAGATACACAAAATCTTATATCAAGAACAAGCACTTAATTTCATTCCCTTTGTTTATATTTCTATGCAGTATTCAAATGTAATTTAAGTTAATATGTTACTATCAGTTTTAAAAGCAGAAATGAAAAATACTGAATTCTTACCATCCTCATTGAAGGAAGGAAATCCTCTTCCTCTGGATAGACTGTGACCTTCATCTACAGAATCATGGTTCTGTAGTGGGGGAGGTGGCACCACCTAGAATGCAGACAACAGATAATAAGATTAATTAAAGTAATTTTAATTATGTCTGCAGCTTGTGAAAACCAGGAAAATCATTAAACACCAAAAAGTTACTGAATTTTATGACATTAAAATTTCATTTCATATTCCAGAAATTGTATCCTGCAGGCTTGGTCCAGTTATTTTTATGAAAATATGTGCTTTACACAAGTTTGAGATCATCATGTGGTAAAAATCATTATTGAGAAGTGTTGATTTGCTTAATTATCAGTTATAGGTCAAATAATTAGCCTGCAAATAGGTGAAGGGTTCATATTGTGGGACAATCGGTTTACAATACCATTTGATTGAGACTTTTACCACTGGACCCAAAGGAGGATGGTAACACATTGTGATATCCATAAGCTCCAACGCTGTGGTTCTTAAGTTATTCCATGGAACAAAAAATAGACTAAAATGTTAAATATTAAAAGAGCACATAATTTTGACCTTTTTAAATGTTCTCTTGAAGCTTTGCACACATATTACCATGAAGGAAATTGAACTAAACTATTCAAATATTATGTGACTTTAATATAATAATATGGAGAAAATTCACATTTTGTTAAAGATATATTATTATTTTAGGTATTATTATCAAAAAGATCATTTTTATTTTTTATAGTTGATGACTTACAACAGCTTCACAGGAATCATCCCAGTCATCATCCATTACCTGCAAAGTAATTTTTTTATTAAAATTTTTCATTGTGACCTTCATTTTCCATTAACTTTTATCAAGTAGTTTTGGAAGGTAGATTGAAATTTTTATAAACAGCATGGCTATTTGGTTCAACCGTTTTTTTAATGATAAAGTTATATTAAATACTGAAGATATTTGTTCCTATCATATTGTAATTTTAATCTTAAAAGCTATGTCCGAAGTTGATTCTCTATTATACATTTCGAACTAAAAACTATTTTAACAATGCTTTACCAGTAACAATAACTGGATGAATACATTTTATTTTAAAATCTATACTTAACAGTAAAGATTAAGATAAAGTGAAACTATTTTTTTTAATTTTTTCTATGTTGACGCTAAACAATAGTTTCTACCGGCTTTTGGATAATAATTTGGCACGTGTTACAATAACGCAGGTTTTTAAATAATTATTTAGTCATAATAATAATTATAGCTCTAAATTATTAGTTTTTATTCTATTCAAGATCAACAAGTTGTATGTACTTACAATGGTATTTTTTATTTTCACTGGACTTCGACAACGATAAGTCGCCAAACAATAATGGCGGACGAACGATTGCTACCAATTTGGCACTGAGTTGAAGAATTCCAAACCAATCTCTTTTTTTTGTTTGATTCACTAGGAAAGGCAAAGAACGCTAAGCTTATAAGCCATTTTTTTATTTGAATAGCTGAAAGTTCTTTCTTTGCTCAACTTGTAGGCAATATAAAAATAAAATTGCTGTTCCATTTATAATAAATTAATGATGATAATTAAGTGAATTTAAAAGGATTACAATAAAATGAGAAAATTGAAACTGACATCTATTATGCTTTTAGCTTTTTTGTTTTTCTTTTGGGTGGAAGGATTACGGCGCGGCATGTTCTTACCGCCTAGCTAGGACACTTGGGCGGGTAAAAACTCTCGCTAAGAGAAGAAAGATTGCTAAAACCTATTTGAACAAAACAGAGATTGAATTCCCTGGTGGAAGTCTATGTGCGTGTCGGCCGTGTCACCGAATCATACTCATAAGTCAGTATAGGCCGCGTTTAAGTTTTGTAAAATGACACCTTATTGCGAAAGCACTTTTTTCCCACTTGCAGATCACGTCATTCAGGACGACTCTCAAATACTTTACCGCCTGGATCAAGAATAATATATATTATAATAATATTACACTTAATTTTACTTCACTAGATTTAATTTTCATTCATAGCCTACACAACGGCGGATCCCGGGGGTCATGACCCCCCCCTGAGCTGGTTCCAGGACTTAGGTGAACCACTAATTGACCATAATGATTTTATTTATATATTTTGTCACTATACAGATTTTATGTAACTAAATACCTTCAATATTTAATTAATTTAATATAATTTAATAACTTTGTATGATGGCAAGCGTTTGGGAACGAGCGCATCGAAAATTTGATTATGTGACCCCCTCTTGGCGCCAAAGCTGGATCCGCCCTTGAGCCTACAGATAGGTAGTATAGGTACATACCATTTTTTTTTCCTAAGCTGATGTTCTTGAGAGATCATTTCAGAGTAACCTTAACTATTAGCTCACGGGGCTCAAAGCTGACGACTTTGCTAGCACTAACCCTAGCAAGAGCAGTGCTTTGCAGAATCTACCATCGGATTGGAAACGCGACCCACTGAGAAAATTCAGCGAGAAACTCAGTGGTCTGTGGGTTAGTTTACTCGCTGAGCCTTTCGTCGCAAGCAACGGGTTCGACGAGAACGATGACTGGTGCTTGGGGTACCTAACAGCACCGTTAGTGGATCGAGTGGATCCGAAATGACGTGTTTTGGGTGACGTCTACTGTTTACCTTTTGGCCCGCAGGATCGGGAATTTATTTACCGGTGGCTACGATGAGAGGTCTCGTGTCATGCCGCTTTCTCGAAATGGCACACTGATGCCGAATGTAGATACTTACTGATGGTCTACGTTTCGGATGTACCATGGGGCTCCGGCAGCTATCCTATAAAAACGGGATTGTATTATTTGAAGGGGTTTCAAGTTTGTGCGGGTCGCGTGAGCGAACACTACACTTGCATAGGTCATGAGGGGGCGAACCTATATCATACCGACTACAATGCAATGGAAACATTACATTTTTTAAAAATTTGTTATTCTTATTATCCGTATAATGGTTAGGCTTAAAAGCCTAAAGTCTCAGCCATTAAACCTATGCATTAAACGAAAAAAGTTAAGTGTCAAAAATAATGAAAAAGTAAACGCTGCGCCTGTCTGTAATTGAGTATTGCGTAGGTAGGTAGGTACCTACATACTCTGTTACAATGTTAAAAATAAACACAAAATTTGCTTGTGTATCAATGAGCTAAAGAGTATAATATTCTTAAAAGTGTGGAAATAAAATGAAAGAATCACACAAATTTCATTTACTGATACCATTGTGCTTAACGAAGTAAGCCAAGTCTTATCTCTGTTGGCGTCCTCTTAGTTTTATGATTCAAGTTCACGATGGCAACAGTGGAAGATATAGTTAAAGTGGCCGTGGTGACCAATCGTACACCAAATAATGTAAGGTGTACTAGCACACTTACTGCAGAAGAATTGTGTATAATATTGTGTAAGAAATACAACATACCTCCTCTAACTCGTACATTATTTGCATTACGAGTTAAGGGTACTGATTATTTCCTCAAGGATAACTGTAAGGTCCTCTCGGGCTCTAGGGACTATGAACTGAGGATTCGTTTCAAGGTTAGTCAGACGAAGCTTGTAATTTTCATATTAGTATTGTAAAAAATCCACTTTGATTCATTGAGTGCTTGAGTATGTTAATTTGCTGCTAATCTTTTTTTACCTTATAGATAGATAAGACTTGATTTAAATGTTACAAGTAAAAAAAATTAGAAGTAAACTTTAAAAACCTTTAAAATATTAAATAGTGTTTACAATTAACAGCTCTGTCGCTTATAGCAATCTCTTCCAGGCAACACTTTAGGGCACAAATAACCCCCAATAGATTCGACATGCAGGGCCACAAATGTTCACAGCACATTAGTGATTTAGCTAGTATATGAAGTGACACTAAGAATCATGACATCAGTGTTGACCAAGTTTAAGACCCGTAAGCACGCCGAGTTCTTTCCAATATTTAAAGATAGTTTTAAATTCAAATAATATTATAAATGGCTTCCTGTGCAATAAAATGGTTTGGCAAGTCATCTAAGACATCTGGTTATCAAAAAGATGCCATAACATTTCATCGGTAACTACTGTTACTTTTCTGTACTTTTATTACATTAACGTAATTCAAATAAACCAGAGTTCAATTTATACTGGAGACGGATGTGAAAAGTAATATCAAAGCACCCGTTGATGTCTTTTTGAAATGTCCCTTTCACTCATCATGTAAATTACAATAGTTGTCTTTGTCTAAATCTGCACGTGTATCGATAGTGTTGTGATTTACAAGTCGACATTTGTTTGGGCATTGTTTTTTTTTTTTTCTATTGTAACAAAAAAAATTTAAAACCTTGCTATTAAACCAGTAATGTTTAATGTTTAAAACATTATCAAGCAAGTCATACGAAGCTCAATAAATACAACCCAAGGTTGCAAAATATTATATAAAGATAAAAACGTTTTGTAACACAAACATTAAGTAGTTTTGTTGGTGAAAGTATTTTTCTTGATATATCACCAATAAGATCACGAAAATTGTAATCATATTATTGATTTAATAATTATTGATTGTCGTGGAAAAATACATAGATATAAGACTACTTTACTTATCAAGGAAGACAAATCCTAAGAATTCTGTAAGACGAATTTTTACTAAGCTGATTCATTTTAAAAATCAATGAAATATACTTAGATTCTTTTTTATTTGTTTTTAATAAATATTGGATAATTTAGAATTAATTTATTTTTTATTTATAACTAATAATAAAATTAAAATATCAATGATCCAGATCATCCTACCAAAGTTATCGATCAATAATTTTAAATCTGTCCCATCACTATGGTTTGATGCATTATAAGTTTGTCTTTGAAATATCCAATCACAGCACACTTGACACGTTCCCCGCCACTCATGCTTACCTCAAAATTTGGTGAAGTCGAATTGAACCAAATGTTGAATAATGCGGTATCTATTGGGGGTTATCTGTGCTTTAGGGTCACGAACTTTTACACACAAAAAAAATTATCTATACTGAAAATATCATCAATAACAACTGCAACAAAATAAAAGATGACAATTAAGAATTGTTTACTAATTAATTTATTTTATTTGAATAAACTTGGAACTCTGGCTATGGAATGAGCTCTCCTCGACGGTGTTTCCCGAGCGGTATGACATGTCCTTCTTCAAACGAGGCTTGTGGAGAGTATTAAGCGGTAGGCAGCGGCTTGGCTCTGCCCTTGGCATTGCTGAAGTCCATGGGCGACGGTAACCACTCACCATCAGGTGGGCCGTATGCTTGTCTGCCTACAAAGGCAATAAAAAAAAAAAAAAACTTGAAACATTAAATCATTCGTTGAATACACAGTGTTAGGAAATTAGCCGTAAAAGAGAAGGATGAGGAGAAGGAAGGAGAGCTGATGTTTTACGAAAGGCCAATTAGTGAAAATAAAATAGTAAACAGTAATCTGTGCATTGTTCTTGACTTCCATAAAAATAAGAAGCAGGTCAACATTTCCTGTTGTTCGCTATCTTCTTTTGCTTTTTATTGACACTCTACAGGACTTCATTTTTTGACCACAAGAAGTACTTTTGCTTAGCTCCAAAAATATATATGTAAATTGGTTTCTCTTTACGAAGGTAGATATCACTGTAATTAAGTCTATAGGAAAATTTTAATTATAGTTATTTCTGAAATTTAAGAAAATCTCATGTTTACTGTAATATATATATTATTTTGCAATCAACAAATTAAATTATTTTAATTTAATAAGAAATGATTGATTAATGAAGTGAATAATTACATTTGTTGACTAACATTTTTAGACGTTTAATATTAATATAAAATAAATCAATCTTTTAGGTGCCAAGGTTAAGTCTTCTTATAACATTGGATGAGACCACATATGATTATTATTTCCAACAAGCAAGGAATGACGTCAATGAAAATAAAATACCTGAGATTAAGTATCCTGAACATAAGCAAGAATTACTCGGACTGGGGATCACAGATATGTAAGCAATTAGGTTTAGTATTGATGCGTACATGTAAAAATAAGAGCAACTCTGATGATTAAATGTACATGGTTTATATTACGGTTATCACAAACCTGCTTTCTGCTTCGAGCTTAGTTCTCTTTGTGCTCCATACTTCATACGGAGTGCTCTGAAGAGTCAACAAGTTATTGATGTTCTTTAAATATTTTTTAAAAGTAATAAAAAATACCGCTGTGTAATGGTAAAAATATGATTTCTAAGTTAGGAAGCTATGAATGCGTTACAGGCTTCACAGGTAATGTATATTACAGAAAGAATTGCTCCATACAACATTTTAGTCCAAATCTCTATTAACTAGCCTTAAGTTATTACTTCTTTTTTTTTTTTTCCTACCTAAGCTGAGAGCCTTGAGAGGCTATTTCAGCGTAACCCTAACGTTTGTAGGTGAGCTCACGGGGCTCAAACCTGATGACGTTGCTAACACGAATCCTAGCAAGAGCCGTGCTTCGCAGAATCTACCACCGGATCGGAAACGCGACCCACTGAGAAGATCCGGCAAGAAACTCAGTGGGCTGTGTCTGGGAGTTAATTTACTCGTCGAGCCCTTCGTCGCAAGCGACGGGTTCGACGAGAACGGTGACTGGTGCTTTAAGTACTTAGAAGCACCGTTAGTGGATCGGGAGGATCCGAGATGACGTGTGTTATTACTTCAATTTATGTGTTAAATTTTTTATTTTTTTTTATTGCCTTGATGGGTGGACGAGCTCACATCCCACTTGGTGTTAAGTGGTTACTGGAGCCCATAGACATCTACAATGTAAATGCGCCACCCACCTTGAGATATACGAGGGCGGCACTGACAATTTCGGGAATTAACGAAGTGACACAACATTACTATTTAAAAATGTATTTATTGCTTTTCGAAGTATTCTCCGCGAAATTTGACACCTTTTTCCATACGATGGAACCAATCATTGAAGCAACCATTCCATTCGGAAGTTGGGGTCTCCAAAATGGCCGTTTTGTAGGCGTCCACAGCTTCTTCAGGTGATGAAAATCTCTGTCCACGCAATTTATTCTTTATTTTAGGGAAAGTATAGAAATCATTAGGGCTTAGGTCGGGGCTGTACGGCGGATGGTCTAATAATTCTATGTTTTCTTGCTCTAAAAACTCTTTTGTTCTGTGCGCGGTGTGAGAACTCGCATTGTCGTGATGGAGGATGATGCGGCGGTTGCAGTTCTCTTTACGGAGTTCAGAAACGACCTGTGGCAAACAAATGCTAGCATACCATTCTGCATTAACCGTTCTTTGTCCCTCAAGAGGAATAGTCGTAACATGGCCGGTTTTGGAGACAAACGTGGCCACCATTTTTTTTGCAACACTCCGTGAACGAACAATTTTTGTTGGCTTTAACTCATTTTCGAACACCCAAACTCGTGACTGGTTTTTTGTTTCGGGTTCGTACGCGTATATCCAGGATTCGTCACCTGATACAATGTTGTATACAGCATTTGAGGATCCTGCGTGGAATCTTTCGAGAGTTCTGACGCACCAAGTAACGCGAGCCGCTTTTTGCTCTTCACAGAGCGAATGCGGTATCCATCGGGAAAACAACTTTTTTACACCTAATTGTTCATGCAAGATTATTTGTATTTGACTCATGCCAATGTCTAAAGTTGCCTGAATTTCGCGGTATGTCACATGTCGATCTTCCTCAATCAGCTTACGCACAGCATCAACGTTTTCTTGGGTGACTGCAGTTTTTGGACGACCTTGACGGGGATCATCACTGAGCTTGACACGTCCACGTTGAAACTCAGCAAACCAGCGATAAATTGTGGTTTTGGATGGGGCTTCATCACCAAATGCAGAAATCATCCGGTCAACACACTGTTTTTGTGTTAAACCACTTCGAAAGTCATAATAAATCATCGCTCTTGAATTTTCTCGAGTCAATTCCATTTTCTCAACGACTAAACAAGTTTGACAAAACCTCGTGACAAGACCGAGAATCTTTTTTTAAATAAATAAATGGTATTCGATTTTTAAAACCAAGGAGTTTTCAATTAAAAAGATTTTAATATGACAGGAACAGTGGAAATATTCCATTCCCGATACTTTTAGTGCAGCCTAGTAAGTTCTAAGGTCTCAAGTATAGTTACAACGGCTGCCCCACCCTTCAAACCGAAACGCATTACTGCTTCACGGCAGAAAATAGGCAGGGTGGTGGTACCTACCCGCGCGAATTCACAAGAGGTCCTACCACCAGTAATTACGCAAATTAGAATTTTGCGGGTTTGATTTTTATTACACGATGTTATTCCTTCACCGTAGAAGTCAATCGTGAACATTTGTTTGTGAAAGTTATAGCTTAATATTTTTAAATTAATCATCTACTATCCTATATGATAATTCAATGAACAAAATTCCGTACCCCTATGAAGTACTGATATGCTTGGGGAGATTTTTTCCCTACTATTTTCTGAGAGCCCAAGATGCTGCCCCAACCACTGGAAGACCGGGAGGTAAGCTCACGGGCTCAATCCAAGAGAATTTGCGCTAGTAAAAGCAGTGCTTAGCAGAATGTACCACTGGATTTGAATCTGGATCCACTGAAAAGATCCAACGAGATACTCCATGGGTTTTGTCTATGAGATAAAGTACTTATTGTAATTATAATAAAAAACAAACAATAAAAGTAACAAAATCACATAATTTTAAAAGATTACTTAAACATATTTAAAGAAATTCGTTATTCATATTTTAAGATCTGATCTCGGATTAAAAACATGCTACCAAGAAAGTATCATGCTAAAATACTTGATATGTTTAAAATATCGTTGTATGGTAAGATAAAATTATGAGAATTTGGAATTATACTAAAATTTACATATGTATTAAATTTTATCACTTGTTATCTAACAGTTAATAAAAATAATTTTATTAGGTACAAGCTGCAAGTCTATATTGTGCAAATAACATATTTTGCGACATGATGTCACTGTTAAATAGATAATGCCTCATTAATAAATAAATAAGGAATAGTTGCATCACATTGTTAATCCTGCTGTCTTGCAAGTCAGATCTTAACTTTTTGTTTTACTTTGTTACAGGACCCGTGCAATAGCTGAAGAGAGATTACCACTGAATGATGTTATTCGAAATTACAAAAAATATATTCCTAAAGAGATTGCTAAAAGACATGGACCATTTCCTAAAAAGTATGCCATTGATTATCTACCGCAATTGTCTTCGGTCGGTCATAATGTGAAGTAAGTGTAGGAAGCATAATATATTTATAATAATATTATCTAAATAAGTCAAGAATACCCTTTAAGCTGATCTCTTATATTGTGGTGAGGGGCTTGGTTATTCTAGGCGTCCTAGGTAGAAGATAATGACATCAACAATGTAGAAGTTTCAATGGATATGTGTATCTAACAGTGCTTAGAATTAGACACCCTTTAACCGTCCTGGCATATTTTCGACCAAGCCTAAATAATAGGCATAAATGTGGCTTTCTCTAATTGGTATAACGAGACTGAATCTTCGGAATGGCGGGTACAGAATTGTAAATCGCGAGCCGCGAGGAGTCGACTGTAGACTACACTCGGGTGCAATGAAATCGCACATCTGTACATTTTTTGAAAAATATTATTTAATTCTTTTTATTTAAAAAAATACCTATATTTTTTAACATAAGGTTAAAGGATAGTTCAATACCTATTCAATGATACCACATAAGACATGATAAGTTTACCTGCCTGCTGAAACAAAACGACAACAGCAAACTCCAAAAATTGCTCCCTCAACTCACTGCAGTTTTCAAGACCAACTGCAGGTATAAAAAGGCATGTTTTGTGTAAAACGTCATCAGTTGCAAGCTAACGCTTAACCTGATAAGACCTCTAGTGACTCCAATTGCATTTGTCTGAAAAAGGTGGATACTACTCCGGAAAAAGCCGCTCAAGTCGTCGCTCTAATTGAAGCGGGCCAGAACCAGAGTGCTGTAGCTCGACAACTGAATATCAGCCGATATTCAGTTCGTCGTGTGTACCTGCGCTATCGGGAGACTGGTGGCTTTGAAAGGCGACGAGGATCTGGTCGAGCAAGAGCTACAACACAGCGCGACAACAGATTTCTTGTAACGACAGCGTTGCGATATCGTCGTTTGACTGCCGTTGAACTTGCACAGCAGCTTCAACAGGTGCGTGAAGTGGTAGTCAACAGGTGGACAGTCAGAAGGAGACTTGCCGAAGGTGGTTTGACTGCGCATAGGCCAGCAAATGGCCCTAAATTGACGCCAGCTCACCGCCGGGCTCGTTTTCGATTTGCACAAGAACACGTCAACTGGACAGCCGACCAGTGGAAAGCAGTCCTGTTCTCAGACGAGTCCAGAATGTGTCTTCATGATAATGATGGACGTGGAAGGGTCTACAGAAGGCGCTCAGAGCGATTTTCCCAATGTTGCATCACAGAACGTGTAGCATACGGCGGTGGTTCGTGTATGTTCTGGGGAGGTATCTCACTCGAACGAAAAACAGAGCTTGTCTTCATCGTTGGGGCCAATATTAGGCGACAAACAAGAGGTCTAACATCTCAACGATACATAGAGGAAGTTCTACAAGAACATGTCGTACCATTTGGCCGTTTAATTGGAAGTAACTTCCTTTTTATGCATGACAATGCAAGACCTCATACCGCTGCGATAGTGAGACAATACTTACAAGAAGTAAATGTACCCGTGATGGAGTGGCCAGCTCGGAGCCCGGACCTTAATCCGATTGAACACTTGTGGGACGAATTAAAAAGAAAAATTAGAGGTCGAAATAGTGCTCCAGCTAATCTCCAGGAGCTACAAAATGCGCTCAAAGAGGAATGGGACGCCATGCCACAAGACTTTATCAGAAACTTGATAGAGTCGATGGGGAATCGGTGTGAAGCTGTAATTCGGGCAAGAGGGGGCAATACTTGTTACTAATAAATGATTTTTCAGTATTCTTTGTGTTTTTTTTTATTAATCCCCAAATTTTAAACGGTTTAGTTGAGTAATCATTTTGTAATAAAGATTAAATTGTTGTTGTATTTTATTTTCCTCAAGAAAGTAACCTTATCTCCACTTATATGGTATCATTGAATAGGTATTGAACTAACCTTTAACCCAATGTAAAAAAAAATATATGTATTTTTTTAAATTAAAAAAAGTAAATAATATTTTTCAAAAAATGTACAGATGTGCGATTTCATTGCACCCGAGTGTATATTCTATCGTAACTATAACTGAATTTATATTCGATTACATATTTAACTTATACATAACACCAATCGGACCGTGAGCCCGATAAATCGTCTAAGCAATAAATAAATAAATTAATATGGCCGTCTGATTCGTTTATATAGTTTATAGAATGCTTAATCTAGCTTTCAAAGTAGATAATTTAGCCATTTGAAACTAAGGCTATTTGTATTTGCACTGGGTAGTTTAAGTTAAGGTGTTTTTGTTGATTAAGTTTTGAATAGATTTGGATCACCAAATCGCAAGTCCGTATCGACCGGATTCGTAAACTATTGGTTGTATGGATATTTTTATTTACCAGACGAATGAGTAATATAAATTGAGGAAAAAATAAAACGCAAGATAACGAGAATTAAATTTGTTTTCATCAAGAAGTTTGGTGTAAAAGATTGATATGCATAGAGATTGTTTTTATCTCTAATGTGATATATCGCAGACCTTTGACACGTTTTTGCGTGCGAGTATATACGATCATCATACATTTTCCTTATTGTTTGCGTCCATTGACTTAAGTCATATTGACGAAGGATTTGACGATTTAAATGGAATTGGATATATCGACCAAGTATGATAATTAATACACGAGGTTTTCATTCTAATGTTTATATCTAAGCCACTGTTAAAAGTTTCAATTGGATTCATTGCTAGATCAATATTAATACACATACTATACATACTCGTCGTGGCATAAAGGATAAGACGTCCGGTGCATTCGTATCGAGCGATGCACTGGTGTTCGAATCTCGCTGGCGGGTACCAATTTTTCTAATGAAATACGTGCTCAACAAATGTTCACGATTGACTTCCACGGTGAAGGAATAACATCGTGCAATAAAAAGCAAACCCGCAAAATTATAATTTGCGTAATTACTGGTGGTAGGACCTCTTGTGAGTCCGCACGGGTAGGTACCACCGCCCCGCCTATTTCTGCCGTGAAGCAGTAATGCGTTTCGGTTTGAAGGGTGGGGCAGCCGTTGTGACTATACTGAAACCTTAGAACTATATCTCAAGGTGTGTGGCGCATTTACGTTGTAGATGTCTATGGGCTGCAGTAACCACTTAACACCAGGTGGGCTGCGAGCTCGTCCACACATCTAAGCAATAAAAAAAAATACTAATACATATACATATCGTTGAATGTACTAACGTTTGCCGTTCTTTGTACCGAATGCGCATGTGCTTTAGGCATTGTAGTATTATAATATCTATTTTGCTGATCCAAACTGGTTCTCGGTCTTTGTAACGAGATGCTTCTTCGAATTTATACGACGAAGTGCTCGGCGAGTAAATTAACCCACAGACACAGTCCACTGAGTTTCTCGCCAGATCTTCTCAGTGAGTCTCGTTTCCGATCCGGTAGTAAATTCAGTAAATCACTGTACCAGGACAAAGTCTCCAAGGCTTGCTGGCTTGGCTGCAAGGCTTGTCTCTAAGCCCCGTGAGCTCGCCTACACGTCTGGTGCAGCTAGTATAATCTCTTTAGGAATTTATAACGTCCTATTACGTCTTTTTAATTTTATATCTATCTAACTACTATGTAGAATACTATAGATTTATAGACCTATCTACAGAATATAGAAAGCGTCAGTAGATACAGTTTTATATGATCATTTTAACGTAACTTCAAAGGAGGGTGGGTAATTCCTTAACAGTCCACATCCGACTGCTCTCGACATCAATTGAGACGTTATTTAAATTAAACTTGACGTCCATTTGAAGGTGTTTCTTTTTATTTGTCTTGTTTTGTACTACGTATTAAAGAAGTTGACGGTTCACCGGGTGTTGAAGAGTTATGGAAATTCATTGTTTTACTCGAATGCTGTGAACCTTACCTTCGTTGTTGTTCGGAACTAGTATATATGAGTCGACTATTATCAAAGGTGGCAATCTGTGCATTTGGACAAAAAAATGTTATTGATATGTCAATACAGATTGATTTGAATATAATCGTTTCCTTCAAAGAATACGGTTCAAAACCTGCACTAAATAAAGGTTAATACTTAACCTGTTATTTATCTAAGATGTCGTTCAGAAGAGTTTTATGACTGCCAATGGAATACAAAGTCAATAATTCGTTTTTCTGATTTACCAATAATTGTCCAAAAGTCACATTGCCGGCTTTGATAATAGTCGACTCATATAGTCTATGGGTTACAGTAGTTACCACTTATGTGTATATCGTGAAGTCGCAATGTAACGTCACCTAATATTATGTATAAATTTTCTGTACGTGATATTTTTTTGTTGTCATGTCGGGAGTTATCAGGTCTACCGTATGTCTTCATTTTCGGCAACTTTGCTTCTACACCGTGTATAAATTGAAAGCCTTTATTAAATAGTTGCAGAATCTGTACAACACGTATGTGTGTAATTTATCGAAATAACTAAGAATAAACATAAGTATATTTATATTGTAATTTACATTTATAAAATGTAAATATTGATTGGCTATTGTGATTATTATATCACTTTAACCGTTATCACTAATAATATATCTAAATATAAATAATAATCACCGTTAAAGTGATCACGTAACTTTTGATGTTACGTGATCACTTTAACGGTGATTATTAACCGTGTGCTAATAATCTCCGCTATTTAATAATTGTGATATGAATTTATTCAGACGATTCATTGCAATAAAAAAATATTCTTGAATACGATAAGAAGTGAAATGATTCAGACGATCCATCGCAAAAAAATATTCTTGAATACGATAAGGATGTGATAAGAAGACACGAGTCTTCGCATTAGTCATATTTGTTGTAAACAGCAGTTTGTTGTAAACATAATAATTGCTTTCATTTTGATTTTACTTCTTTTGTATAAATAGATAGAAGGCGCTAACAGCCCGCCTAATGGTAAAGGTATATCATATTTTTATGATATACCTTTTTTTTAGATTTTCTATCTATTTATACAAAAGAAGTAAAATCAAAATGAAAGCAATTATTATCCATTTATAAATAGGCAAAGATAAAGAAGTTAAGTACCACTTTCGCTGTTGTTCGTCAACAAATTTTCTTTTTTTCTTAAGTAGCTACGAACAAGCTTCGCTAATAACCCGAGTAAAAATGAAATTATAATTTTTTGATAAAAATAATAATTTCAAGTCTATCGTCGAACCACCGCTGCACGGTGTCCGCACCACAACGCTGAACCACCGCTGCACCACCGCCATTTGGCGGAAAATTTCGCAGCACGCTTCGAAAGAAATCTCCCAGCACCGCCGCACCACAGCCGAAGCATAGCCGAACGTTTCGAATTTTTTACGTTTACATTTTATAAACACTGGACGTAAAAAACGCTTACATTCACACACACACATATGTATGTATATGAGAATGATATGTCACTGCTGTAGTGCAGCGGTGGTGCGGCGGTAGTGCAGCGAAACCACTCTTATTAAACAGTCGCGGCTATGGTGCGGCGGTGCTTCGGCGATTAAAATGCCGTGCAGCGGTGTTTCGGCGGTAGAGCAGCGAACCCACTTTTACGTAAGCAGTCGCGGCTATGGTGCGGCGGTGCTTCGGCGACCATAAAAAAATTCAAATCGTCACAGTCAATAGTGCTGCGGCGCTTCGGCGATTAAAATGCCGTGCGGCGGTGATTCGGCTAAATTCTGTTTTTATTCGGGAATTTATTTATTAATTTATTAGGCACGCAATACACATTATAAGCTAAAAATATGCAAAAAAAAACTTGCTTGTAACTTAAGCCCTGTATGTGCGCACTACTAAACAAGACACATATGCTGAGTGTGTACACAAAGTTCCTTACAGCTGTAGTAGGACAATACAACACGATAACGAAAACGAATCTAAGTTATAATGTAAGGAAATAATTTATAATAATAATAAAAAAATAAACAAAAACTGAATAGTTTCTGTATGAAATTTAAGAAAACAAAATGAAAAATGAAGCACATTAAATGAATCTAAATATTGTGGTGACTGTGGTTATGGTCGAATTTGGATCATTGGACGAATACTTGATTTTATAATTAGCAGCGAACAGTACAGAACTTGAGTTATTTTCAGTTACGTGAAGAATTTGTACTTACAACAGTTATACGCGTTAGCACCAAATTACCTCGCTGAGGAGTACGATAATGTTCTGTGGCAAAACGGCAGTGAGATGACGCCAGTGCGGGTGATGGTGGCACCTTTTCATCCGCACCATCCTGGAATACGACTTTACAACACTCTGAAACGTGAAGTAAGTAACATAAGGTGTATAATACAATATCAGCTTAACAATCGGAACATTAATTTATACTAGTGGTCCCTTGGTAGTCGAAATTCGACTAATTAATTGAAATTATAAGTTTGAACATTATTATGGTTCTATTGTCAAAGGCTATTTATTATACTTCTATAGTCACAGATTTCGCCAAGACTACACTTTAGACAAATATTAACAAAGACAAACAATATTTTAATGTATTCTCAGTTTGACTATAGACTTTATGCAATAAGAAAAGTTCGACAATAAACAAATAGTATGCATGCGTGTGTGTGTCATATACATGTTAGCGTGTGTAATGATTTCTTTATTGATTTAATGTATCTTTTATTTTTCATACTCCTCCGTCCGCGCAATTTTCGTAAAAAGGGGTACAAAGTATTGCTTCACGTATTAATATATAGATAAGCAACTCAAAATTTAATTTAAAAAAAACCGACTTGAAGAAAATGAATTGAGAATATCACCAATTTAACTATATAGTCGATGTTAATCAAATATGCATTATTAAGGATAACTCAAAAATTTACTGGTCAGATAATCTTAAAAAAAATATGTGACCACATTAAAACCACCAGCTTACAAATACAAAAATGATCGTAATTGATTCACCTGGAAAATATGTATATCTAAAAAATATAATTGATAAAAAAACGTGAGGGAACACACGTATAAAACATAGTCGAATTGAGAATCTACTCCTTTGAAGTTCTTAGTTCATACACTCGCGTGTCTTATTCGATTGGATTTAAATTTTGTTTTTCGCAATTTATTTTTGGTTTTTATTGTGATAATACTAATAATGTAATAATGCTAATAATGACAGGTGGCGCGCGAGCTATTAATTATTTTAATGTATTTTTCATCCCTTACATGGTTTCATTAGCGTCAAATAAAGTTTAGATAAATTTGATTTTTTTCTCTTAGTTTCGTATCTACATCCACTCTACCGAATTTAGTTTTAGCGCTATAAAGGCACAGACTGGTGCATAAACATTATAATGCGAATTCCACTAGGTATTCGTTTTGAGATAGGTTAATGTCAACTTATATTGATTACATAACTTTATTATCGAAATGCAGTCCAATAAAGACGGCATCTTATCTATGAAAGTCAACGGAGAGACGTTATAATCAGAGGTTTATTCTGGTAAATACTTTGCAAAAACTGTCTGAAAATGCTAACTAAATATTAATCTAAGCAAAAAAAAATTGACAGAATAAAACCTTCATATTTAATGATATTGAATTATTGCAGTGGTTCTATGTGTGCTCCGTCGAGGAGTTGATATATCTGACAAGGAACGGTGATAGTTCAGTGGAAGTGTCAAGAAGAGGCACTCCTGTGTTTCTCAAGTTCAAGTCCGAGGATCAGCTTTCGTCTTTTATTTCTGTCTGTGATGGATATTATAGGTATGTTTATGTTTCGTAGTGATAAATACCATTGTTAATTCGTTAATCAAACTATTCGACATTTCTGTTCATCAACATCATCATCAGCCTTTATCTGCCCACTGCTGGACATAGGCCTTCCCCAATGCCTTCCACAGAACGCGGTCCTCCGCCTTCCGCATCCAACGACTTCCCGCCGTGCGCACTAAGTCGTCGGTCCACCTGGTTGGAGGACGCCCCACGCTCCTGGTACCTATCCGTGGCCTCCATTCGAGGACTTTCCTCCCCCACTTGGCACATTTCTGTTGGGTTTTTTTATTAATTCACAATATGAAATCTTTAGTAAATTAATATTTATTTATAGGTTGACCGTAAAATGGACATTCAATCTCTCGAAAGACGATGAGACGCCTTCACTTAAAGAATTGCAAAGGATCAAATGTCATGGACCTGTTGGGTAGGTTGTTTCAGAGCTGTAGAAAATATTTTTAAATTCTTTACATACTTAAATAATATACAATTCATTTTGATTCCTTCACAATCAATATTATTGTTATATCAATTTAACTTGATTTTTGACTTTGAAAAATATGTGTATACAATTTTTTTAGTTCAGTAAAAGCTCATTTTTCGCGGGGTATATGTTCTGAGTAAGTATGCGGCGAATACAGAAACCATGCTTATAGNAGAAAATATTTTTAAATTCTTTACATACTTAAATAATATACAATTCATTTTGATTCCTTCACAATCAATATTATTGTTATATCAATTTAACTTGATTTTTGACTTTGAAAAATATGTGTATACAATTTTTTTAGTTCAGTAAAAGCTCATTTTTCGCGGGGTATATGTTCTGAGTAAGTATGCGGCGAATACAGAAACCATGCTTATAGCATCGTGATTTACCTATGCGATTATAGAGGATACGTTTCTAGGTGACAAAATAAAAACAAACTTTAATTAGTTGTAATTAGGTCTATTTTACTACTGTTTTTTATTAGACCATTTGATGACGCGTTTACAAAGGGCTCGTAGGATGCGTATTCGGTTGGGATACCTACATATTGGAATCCTTTTTTATCAATGAGTATGTATCGATGTATCGATGAGTTCCGTGAATAAAGAAGTCCTTAGCGACGAATATAGGAATTGGGTTGCTAAGGAAGTTTGAATAAGGAACTTTTACTGTAGTTATAATAAATATTACTTGAGAACCTTAGGAAATTGCTATATATTTACATTTTGATTATTGGTATGCTAAAACATAGAGTAAAGAATGAAGATAGTCAATTACGAGGGCGGCACTGAAAATTTCGGGAATTAACGAAGTGACACAACATTACTATTTAAAAATGTATTTATTGCTTTTCGATGTATTCTCCGCGAAATTTGACATATTTTTCCATACGGTGGAACCAATCATTGAAGCAACCATTCCATTCGGAAGTTGGGGTCTTCAAAATGGCCGTTTTGTAGGCGTCCACAGCTTCTTCAGGTGATGAAAATCTCTGTCCACGCAATTTATTCTTTATTTTAGGGAAAGTATAGAAATCATTAGGGCTTAGGTCGGGGCTGTACGGCGGATGGTCTAATAATTCTATGTTTTCTTGCTCTAAAAACTCTTTTGTTCTGTGCGCGGTGTGAGAACTCGCATTGTCGTGATGGAGGATGATGCGGCGGTTGCAGTTCTCTTTACGGAGTTCAGAAACGACCTGTGGCAAACAAATGCTAGCATACCATTCTGCATTAACCGTTCTTTGTCCCTCAAGAGGAATAGTCGTAACATGGCCGGTTTTGGAGACAAACGTGGCCACCATTTTTTTTGCAACACTCCGTGAACGAACAATTTTTGTTGGCTTTAACTCATTTTCGAACACCCAAACTCGTGACTGGTTTTTTGTTTCGGGTTCGTACGCGTATATCCAGGATTCGTCACCTGATACAATGTTGTATACAGCATTTGAGGATCCTGCGTGGAATCTTTCGAGAGTTCTGACGCACCAAGTAACGCGAGCCGCTTTTTGCTCTTCACAGAGCGAATGCGGTATCCATCGGGAAAACAACTTTTTTACACCTAATTGTTCATGCAAGATTATTTGTATTTGACTCATGCCAATGTCTAAAGTTGCCTGAATTTCGCGGTATGTCACATGTCGATCTTCCTCAATCAGCTTACGCACAGCATCAACGTTTTCTTGGGTGACTGCAGTTTTTGGACGACCTTGACGGGGATCATCACTGAGCTTGACACGTCCACGTTGAAACTCAGCAAACCAGCGATAAATTGTGGTTTTGGATGGGGCTTCATCACCAAATGCAGAAATCATCCGGTCAACACACTGTTTTTGTGTTAAACCACTTCGAAAGTCATAATAAATCATCGCTCTTGAATTTTCTCGAGTCAATTCCATTTTCTCAACGACTAAACAAGTTTGACAAAACCTCGTGACAAGACCGAGAATCTTTTTTAAAATAAATAAATGGTATTCGATTTTTAAAACCAAGGAGTTTTCAATTAAAAAGATTTTAATATGACAGGAACAGTGGAAATATTCCATTCCCGATACTTTTAGTGCAGCCTAGTAGAAATCGCGTTAGTGGAATAATGTTTTGTTGTGCAGCGGTGCTTTCTCCTATCGGAAGTTGGAGGAGAAACGCGGAAAGAAACACGGGTGTTATATACTGAGGCAATGCCAGGACGAATATAACGTGTATTATTTGGACGTTTGTACGAAAACAAGGTAATAATTAGACTGATTTTGCGTTAACTTTCTTAACTGCTGTTGTGTCGAGAGTCGTCGGTAGGACTCCCGCTTTGACCAAACATTATTTTTTTGTCTGGATGCTTAAAATACATATATGCATATAAATAAATGAAAATATCGGTCTCTGATTTCCATAGTTCAGGGAATCGTAATTTGGAGTCATACGACCTTGTGTTTTGTCCCAAATGTGTATTGTCGCTTAGATTAAGACTAATTTTTAATTACTAACTTTTTACGAACAAATTTTGCTGTCGGGCTGAGCTGAATATAGGTAGGCAAAACCCCAGAACAGATCCCTTGAAGTCTTAAGTCCGCCTATTTTACACTTACCTTTAATAAAAAAAATCTGTTTATAATTTTGGGGCATAACAATGTATACTTTGCTTTAATTTGATTGTAGCACAACAGAAACGTACAGAATAGAATTCAAAGGTCACTGCTACATATTCAGCACTGAAGAGTACTTTAGCATTGAACGCTTGGTCAGTTGCCATCAGAATCCCGAAGGAAGAATATACCTCAACGAATGCATACCTCCCTCTGAGTATGGTGAGATTTTATATTTTAGAAAAACGCTACATTTTATTTTCAGGGTTCTCACTAGTAATTTATATTAGAATAGGACGTGAACGGATGCAGTGGGTTTATAGAGTGTCAACGGGCAACATTGAATACTATTATTTGTGTAATTAACATAGTACTGTGAATAGTTTTTTTTTCTTTAAAAACAACAACAGAAGATTTGCCTTTATATCCCAAGGTTGGAGTATCAGTCTCGTAGATTCTGAAGTGTCCATTGCCATGTTTACAGTCTCACTTTTTTCTTAATAAATATGCATGTAACATGTTCACGTATGACTTCAAATATGAAGGAAATGCATTCTACAAAGCTTCTGATTTCCTCATGTTACTATTGTCGAGCATACCTACCTACCTTTTTTTTTTATTGCCTTTGTAGGCAAACGAGCGTACGGCCCACCTGATGGTAAGTGGTTACCGTCGCCCATGGACTTCAGCAATGCCAGGAGCAGAGCCAAGCCGCTGCCTACTGCCAAATTTTAGCGGACACTAAATAATAAAATAATATTCTTTTAATAAATGCATTTGTTCATTTATGTCTGTCATTAATAAGATCTAAAAGGATTCAATCAATAACTCATACATATTTCAAATTTTATAGACAAATCTCAGTTGCTTTTGTGCGGGGAACCGGTGAAGAGGGGTGTCCGCATCGACCAGGCAGAATTACAGGAGATTCTGAGGGACAACAAGAGTCCCAGGTGCTTGCCTAACAAAGACATTTTATTGTATACAGGTAAACAAACATGAGCGAACATATTATTTATTTTTATTTGTCTGGTTATAGACATAGTCCGTATCTAAACGCAACCATCGATCACGTCATCAATTAGGACAGACATTGCTAATTGGGATTGAATTTGGTACCTTAACAAAACTGCATAAGTGGTAGGACTAGTTGTGATCCCATGACGTAGGGTTGGTACCGCCCTGCCTATATCTAAGCAGTAATGCGTTTCGTTTTCAAGAGTTACATAATTTAATACATTTGAAACTTCAATATTTTGCTTTAGTGTTGTGCGCAATGGTATTTGTAACAGATAATATATAGGTAATAAGTAATATTATGTATGGGTACTAAGTATTAAGGTACAGGTATTAAGTAAGTATAGGTATAAACTATATATAATATAGTAAAGGATAAGCCATTGCACAATACTTAATACCGATATATTATCTACTTATCTACCATTGTAGCCATTACTATTATTAGCTTTCTGAGCCTGTTTGCCACTCTTATAGTGACAAAAAACAATGAGCACTGAATTTTTTATTGTCTTTGTAGTTAAACAATCTGCATACCTGATGGTGAGTGGTTACTGAAGCTCATGGACATCAGCAATGTCAGGATCATACAAATCGCTGTCTATCGAATTTTTACGTTACGTACTCACAACAGTAATATTTAAAAACCTAAAAATATTAATGGTACGTGGCCGATCTCGTACCAACGACTTTCATAAGATTCACGCTACTAGTAGTAAGCTAAGAGTGTATGTTTTCGAGAGACACCTTTAAAGTTTTGTTTTCTTTTAATAGGCTCCGAGAAAACGGGCTCAGAAAATATAACGGCGACATACAAAGCGCTATGGAGGCTAGATGAGACTAAGAAATTGTTAGTTGCGTTCAAGACACTGCAACGGGAGAGGGCCAATGACTATTTAAAGGTTAGTTTTATATATCTGTGCCAAGCTACTTCAACAGCTGTGGACTTTTTGGCGGGAACGCGAGGAGTGAAGTTATGTGATTTGTTTTATTTTGTCTATTTAGTGTTTCTTCAGGTTTAAATGTGTAATAATGGTGGTTTATTAACTGTTTAATATCTGTGAAAGTGCACAAATATGCGAAAATGAAACAAAGCCGCTGGACGTAACTTCTCGGGATCCTCCAAAAAGTCCACTGAAAAAATCTTAGTAAATGACCATTATTTTACTGAAATTATATATCATCCCATATCATCTCATTTCATTTCATTTAATTTCATCCCAGTAGATTAATGTCTCAAATTAATCATCTTCATTTCATTTCACTCCATAATATCATTTTTCATAAAAATACGAATATAAATTAAAATAAGACATGATCTTAAGGTCTTAGGTACCAGGTCATAAAAACCTTTTAAAAAAAATCAACAGCTGAATATTAAAATTTCGATTCTATTTTATTTATTTATTCTACAGGACTTTGTAGATCTCGCAAGCAAATGGGCGTGCATACAGTCTAGTTCTATAGTTAGGCTGTATGGAGTGACTTTGAGTTCCCCGACAGCAATGGTATTGGAATATCTACCGTACGGACCGTTTGATGATTATCTGAGGTAATTTACCGTTTCTTTTACTGATTGAAATGTTGAGACCATTGTTGGTTTTATTTTTAAGGATTTTTTATTAAACGATTTTATTCCATGACAATATGAAATAATTTATAAATTTGTCTTAAAGTAGGGTTATTTCATTTGAAAAAAGTGGTTACCTGCCTGCGGGATTCGAACATCGGTGCAGTAGCGTCGCTCAACACGAATGCACCGGACGTCTCATCCTTTAGGCCACGACGACTTCAATACCTCTCGAGTCCGCACGAGTAGGTACCTCCGCCCGCCTATTTCTGCCATGAAGCAGTAATGCGTTTCGGTTTGAAGGGTGGGGCAGCCGTTGTAACTATACTTGAGACCTTAGAACTTATATCTGAACGTGGGTGGCGCATTTACGTTGTAGATGTCTATGGGTTTCAGTAACCACGGAACACCAGGTGGGGTCGTCCACCTATCCAAGCAATTTCGAATTTCAAATTACGCTAAATAATCCTTTTTTTTTGTAGAGAAAACGGCGACCGTATAACGCCACTGCACTTAAAGAAGGTAGCCGCTGGTCTGGCGAGGGCGCTGTGGGACCTGTCGGAGGCGGGCGTGGTGCACGGCTACATCAGGTGCCGGAAGCTGCTGCTGGCCGTGCTCGACGCGGACCGTATTCAAGTCAAGCTCTCCGGCCCCACTCTGAGACAATACACGCAGCAGGAGTGAGTTACACGAACAGTTGATTTCGTTTTTATTTATTTATTTATTTAGTCTACTTACAAATTAACAGTATAAACCAAAACATTTGTAAGGCATTAATAATTAGCTTAAGTAATTTCTAACAACAACAATAAATCGTTGCAAACCATCATGGAATATATCCATTTCCGGAGCATAGGCTAGCAAGCCATTGGGTAGCGAGACAGCGCGATGTGTCAGAGAATTAGCGGTGTGCTGCGTACGCTAAGACGCTGCCGGTGCTTATGCACACACGGTGTAGTTTTTACTGGTGGTAGGACCTCTTGTGAGTCCGCGCGGGTAGGTACAATCGTCCTGCCTAGTTCTGCCCTGAAGCAGTAATGCGTTTCGGTCTGAAGGGTAGGGCAGCCGTTGTAACTATACTGAGATCTTAGAACTTATATCTCAAGGTGGGTGGCGCATTTACGTTGTAGATGTCTATGGGCTCCAGTAACCACTTAACAACAGGTGGGCTGTGAGCTCGTCCACCCATCTAAGGAATAAAAAAAAAGTAAAGTTATTTAAAAAAAACTTTTTTTACTTAGATCAATTGCTTTAGAACATAATTACTTCAGTTACATCGTATTGTTGTAGATTTTAATGTTTTTTCTTATGTCTATATAATTATTCTTATTTTTAATTTCAAGATGTATTTAATGAAATTCACTGTTGTTTGTACCCATAATTGAGGTACCTTCTTGTCAATTTTCTGTTTTTTTTTTGAATTAATAACTTTGTTGGTACAATCCCGATTCATTAACGGTGCTTTTAGGCACCACAAGCACCGGTCACCGCCCTGGTGAACTCGTCGCTTGCGACGAAGGGCTCGACGGGCGTATTAATCCATAGACACAGCCCACTGAGTTTCTCGCCGGATCTTCTCAGTGGGTCGCGTTTCCGATCCGGTGGTAGATTCTCTGAAGCACTGCTCTTACTAGGGCCATTGTTAGCAACACTCCCGGTTTGAGCCTGGTGAGCTCACCTACACACGTTAGGGCGAAGCTGAAAGAGCCTCTCAAGGCTATCAGCATAGATAGGAAAAAAATGCTACAATTAATGAAATAAATAAATCAGTGTGTCTTGATTGTAAAACAATAAGACTGGATTTTCCTTTTGAAAGATCCCTTCAATTAATTTTTTTTTTCGAAGAGGACGTTACGTAATTTTGTTGCTTATAAAGGCAAGACGCTGTGCTAAAATTGAAGCTTTTCAGTAATTTTTAGTATAACCACGGATAGCCGTAGTTTTTGGGTTTTCTTTACTTTCGAGATATAAAAAAATTAGCCTTGGCTTCTTTCTTCAACTCATAATCTGAAGTGAAAAGTACCTATTATTTAGATTTATAAATGTTTGAATTTAGGTGTAAATTCAGCAGAATGTAAATTTCCTTGTAAATAATTTGATTAACGTGTAAATTTCTAATTTTTTTTTAGTGTACATTGGATGCCTGTAGAATTTTTCGCAGACATGAACTTAGCGAAGAGATCGGTCATTGGAGACATTTGGGCTTTCGCTACAACGCTCTGGGAAGTATTCTCGTACGGACAATTGCCAACTGAAACCAACCCTGTTTTGACAGTTAGGGTAAGTACTCAAATAATGCAACGGTGTATAGAAGAGTGGAAGGAGCCTGCGTTTTAATGGGCATTATGACAGTTAAATGTAAATTTTGTTTGAAAAATCTCCTCACCTCTTGATTTCAAAGAATGGATTTAGTAATATACTTGTAAACTATAAATCACAAATACTATTTTTAATAAACAAATAAATTACATTTTTTATTAGTCTAATTTAATCTTAAGTATTTCTAAGATGGGAACAGCGCAATCGTGTTACTATTGTTACGCGCTGGGGTTCGGGATAAACAAATGTTCTACCAAAGTACAACTTAAAACTGTATTTATCACTTAGAACACTTTAAAATTCTCAATTCGCTTCTTCCGCTTCGCTTCAGGTGATCACACATCTTTTTGTTTTTTTTGTTGAAAACGGTTCTTGTTTTCAGAGCTACGAGATGGGCGACCGCCTGCTGCGGCCGGTCCGGTGCCCGGCGGAGGTGTGGGCGCTGGTGCGGCAGTGCTGGCACGCCGACCCGCTCCGTCCGCAGGAGATCATGCGGGACATGAACCACATGCTGTATAGAGGTACTTTTATCTCTACTGTGTTAGTATTTTTTTTTTCCTACCTAAGCTGATAGCCTTGAGAAGTTATATCAGCGTCGCCTTAACTAGTACGTGAGCTCACAGGGCTCAAACCTAATGACGTTGCTAACATGAACCCTAGCAAGAGCAGTGCTTCGCAGAATCTACCACCGGATCGGAAACGCGACCCACTGAGAAGATCCGGCGAGAAACTCAGTGGGCTGTGTCTGAGGGTTAATTTACTCGTCAAGCCCCTCGTCGAAAGCGACGGGTTCGACGAGAACGATGACCAGCTGTATTAGTATTGTGTGTGACAGGCTGAAGACAAAGGGAAGATCTTCCACCGAGCGGGTGATATTTGCTCGGTAGACCGACGGTCCGAATGTTGTTGTTCGGAACTTGTATATATGCAGGCTTATCTTGAAAATGTCGTAAGCGAGATTCAGGCATTTGCCAATTATCTTGCGTTGTATTATGGTTACCCACCACAGTATAATATATTGTAATATTGTTTAGAAGTACAATTTTTATGTCATATTAATTGAAATTTTATTTGTATTTGTATTGTGGAGTAAATAAATGCAATTATTATTATTATTATTACTTACGTGATTAGACTACATATCGCCTGTGATGCCAGCTTCCTCCACATTGTCTGAACTCCAACATGCATATCAAATTTTGATGGGTAGTGTAGCCGATATTATAAATTAGTCAAGACTGCTAATTGATATCATGTCAACTATACTGAGACCTTAGAACTCATACCTCGAGGTGGGTGGCGGCATTTATGTTGTAGATGTCTATGGGCTCCGATAACCACTTAACACCAGGTGGGCTGTGAGCTCGTCCACCCAATTAAGCCAAAAAAAAAAAGTTATCGAATTTCAGTCTCTAGGAATACAGACCAGTTTGGAAATGATTAAACTAAAGCAAAACAATATATACTGTACTGTGTATGAATACCGAACTTATTGGCGTGTTTGAGGAGATGCCGGCGCCCAGTTAATGGAGCTATACAGGACTGTTTATGATGATAATGATTATGATGCTACTCTGATGATTAAGTGTAGTAAGTTGCTTTAATTGGAATTTCAGAATATGTTCCTGTACATCAATATGAAGAACCTAAGATATCTCTTGATCACATAGAGCACGCAGAAACGGTGTCGAGTGAGTATTATATGCGGTGCTAACTTTTTAAACTTTTTAAAATCATGAAACCGGAGTATATGTCCTTCATATAGTTTGGGTGCATATTGTTTAGTTTATCTCTCTCTAACATTCGATTGCTAGAAAAAGATGAACGATCGCCGAGTGCTCAACAATACACTGGGCTTAGTACATTTTTTCATGTGTGAGTGCTTAAAATGCTTTCCATTCGGAAACTGACCCAACAATTTCTGCCGGAAAATGTACGCCCGGACCTAGTCTAAATACAAATATATAAGTGATCGGCCTATGAATGAAATTCAACCATAATGACTAACACTGCAAAATTAATTTAATCTTTACGTCAAAATTGTCACTTTAGTATTAAAGAAAGAAAGAAAGTTTTTTTTTTCTTTCGGATATCAGTTGTTATATTGAACTATTTTGACTTTACTTACTCTTATGTAGATTATTTTCGTTAACAGTAAAATGAATGTGACTTCCATATAATTTACATAGCATATTATTGAACTGTACAAAATTCGAATTCAACTCTTATAAGGCATTTTTTTAATACTATTTGTATCCAAAAATATTTCCTAACCATTTTTTCTAGGTGATCGTTTTATTCCGAGCGAACTGAGTGACGCGGGAAGCAACAAATCTCTTATATCGGACAACAGCGTTCCCTCTATGAATGGCACTATGTCTGATCAGTATGACAATCCCGTAAGTAGAAATCTCATTATTTAAATAATATTAAAAATGTGCTTTAAAAATCGATATGATGCAGTCATTAAATTGACATTAAACACAGATAGGCCCTTGGTTTATAACCAAATATAATTAGAGTAGAACCCAAAACAAATCAGAAGTAATAAAAAAAGAGTGAAGTTAGATGTGTAATAGAACTTGTAGGGAGAAGTTAGAATCCCTTGACCAATAGAAATTCGATAATCAATGATGTTCTCAGTTCGCAGACAACAAAAGTTCGAACTCGCTGGACAGCATGGCGGCCCTGATGTACGGGCTCCCCAACGAGGTGTCGTCGGCGCGCAGCACGAGCAGCGCGGGCGGCGCCGCCACGCTGGGGCTCGACGACGCGCTGCACGACTGCGACGCCTGGGCCTCCCCCAGGCTCATGGAGTCCATCGTCTCGCAGGGGAAGACCTACCTCGTCACCTTGACCAAGAAGATCGGAAGCGTAGGTCGATTTCGCTTATCGCTTTGAAGTCGTCGTGGCCTAAAGGATAAGACGTCTGGTGCATACGTGTTAAGCGATGCACCGGTGTTCGAATCTCAGGCGGGGGCTACCAATTTTTCTAATGAAATACGTACTCAGCGAATATTTACGATTGACTTCCACGGTGAAGGAATAACATCATGTAATAAAAATCGAACCCGCAAAATTATAATTTGCGTAATTACTGGTGGTAGGACCTCTTGTGAGTCCGCGCGGGTGGGTACCACTACCCTGCCTATTTCTGCCGTGAAGCAGTAATGCGTTTCGGTTTGAACGGTGCGGCAGCCGTTGTAACTATACTGAGATCTTAGAATTTGTATCTCAAGGTGGGTGGGCGCATTTACGTTGTGGATGTCTATGGGCTCCAGTAATCACTTAACACCAGGTGGGCTGTGAGCTCGTCCAACTATCTAAGCAATAAAAAAAAAAAAAGTTTGGTAATAAACAAATAGTATGCATGCATATGTGTCAAATACATGGTAGTGTGTGTAATGTTTTTATTGGCTGATTTAATGTATTTTTTATCCATAATAAAAAAAAAATTATATTCTGCACTCCTCCTCTATATTCTTTATAAGTGTAGGAAATTTCGTATTCCTCTGTTCGCGCAATTTTCGTTAAAAGTGGTACAAAGTTTTCGCTTCACGTATTAATATATAGATGACTCGTGTTCAAGTAACCCTTTCTAAATTAAACGTGTTTCATATTCCCGCAGGGAAATTACGGTCACGTATTCAAAGGTTGGATGGAGCGTGACAATCAAGAATCTCACAGAAAAGAAGTGGCGATTAAGAAATTAACCCGACAAGCCTCCGAAAGGAACGGGACGCTTTATGAAGACTTCAAAAACGAATTGGAGATTATGAAGGTGTGCATGTAGGACAGGGAGGGCGTCAAAGTTTTTTTTTACAAATATTTAAATACTAGCGGCCCGCTCCGGCTCCGCTCGGGTATTTAACACAAATTTCAACGATATTTGACGTTTTTTTTTTAATAAAAAGAACACTTATTGCGACATATGCTGTCGCGAAATTTTTTGTAAATAATAATGTGTTCTACAAAGTCTGAGTACATTATTTTATTCTATCATCAATAGTTTTTGCAGGGCACGCGATGTAAATAATATTTTAGGTATTTTTTTTACACCATGGGTTACATTATTGGAATTTTATTAGGGATCCCTAATTTTTTCAAAAAAGATTATTGCCTATGTCACTCGGGAATAGTGGAGCTTTCAAACAGTGAAAGAATTTTTCAAATCGGTTCTGTAGTTTCGGAGCCTATTCAATACAAACAAACAAATCTTTCTTCTTTATAATATTAGTATATATTAAATAATTTTTAATTCAATATCCAATACTCCTGACTAGGGATGAATTACGTACGGGTTGCTAACATTGATTTTAACGTAATAAATAAAATATGACGTTATAAGCTTCTTCATATTGAAATAGTTTATGATATTTCGACATCAAATCTAGAGTTGGCCGATTTATGGTTCACTTAATTGATTGTATACCGGCGACCACCCAACAACAAGGGGCCGTGTTCCTCGCCTATCTATCTCTCTCTGCCTGTCTAATGCAATAAAAAAGAGTCTCACAAATGACCATTATGATTTAACCTTATTTTTGTTTTTTCAACAGTCATTACAACACATTAATATAGTAGAGATACTGGGCTATGCTTGGGACCAGGGACCGGAAGTTCTAATAGTCATGGAGTATCTGGAAGAAGGTTCGCTTAACTACTACCTCAAATTCCAAGGCGAAAAGCTTAGGATATCGCATCTGCTCAAATATTGTAAGGACATAGCAACGGTGAGTAATAGCCAATGATTTAGTTCAGAAACAAACAAAAAAAATAGTGTATGAGAAGAAGAATAAATATATGCTATAAAATTAAACGTGTATTTGTCTACAATGCGTCCGCGTCTTGTTTGTCAAATTGAGTTGTAATTTTGTCCTCATTAAAGCTCGTTAAAGTACACTTACGTATTTTTATTGTAGTTTGTGTCAGGTTTTAATTCTGTTCACACACACTTAGTCTTAAATTCGGTGCTGTTCAATGAATCCGCTTTAAACAGTATCAGATGAGCCACCTCCTTAGCTATTTTTGAAGTGAAACTTCTTTAGGTGCGTTGAGAGTAAAATTTAACTCGCGACAGATCGTTACGGCTAGAGAGAAAAGATACAGCTTAGGAAGAGCGAAAGTGAGAAAATAGACAGAGCGTCTCGCGAACCACTTGATCGTAGAGAGAGGGAAAAGACAGAGATATCTAGGTCGTTTCTCTTATACAGATCATTCCCTTATTACAAGAGAAATTTGAGTTAAGGATGAAAAATAAACAAAACCACAATACTACACACCGCAAAAGAAGTTTCACTTCTTTCACGCGCACCAAGTTGCACGAGCACAATTTTCTTATTTATTTATTTACCCGCAGTAATCTAAATCTGTATAAAAGGCAATAAATGGTTTATTATTATTATTACGTAGGTGGGGCACGGGTCATTTTGTATGAGTATTTTTATAATTTTAGCGATAGTCCTGAAGTTTTTGATGTTGAAATAAGCTTATCTTTTTTCCTACCTATGCCGATGGCCTTGAGAGGCTGTTTCAGCTTCTCCTTGACGTGTAGGTAAGCTCACGGGGTTCAAACCGGAGTGTTGCTAACACTGGCTCTAGCAAGAGCAGTCCTTCGCAGAATCTACCACCGAATCGGAAACGCGACCCACTGAGAAGATCCGGCGAGAAACTCAGTGGGCTGTGTCTATAGGAAGCTTCTCTAGTTATGCATCAATGGAATGCAATGTATGTAATGTGTGCGCGCAATGGGTTTGTAGGGTATGGACCACGTGTCTGCTAAAAACGTCGTGCATCGGGATCTGGCGACGCGGAACATTCTAGTGGTGAACAAATATCACGTTAAGATATCCGACTTCGGTTTGGCCAGAATCATTCCTAAAGAAGAAAACACGTACAGACTTAAGACTGAAAGACTATTACCAATTAACTGGTGAGTTCGTATGAATATAATTATGCTTTACATAATTAATTCGTATATGGTCATATTCATGGTTGTTTTGTTCAATTCATTCGTGCCATTATAAATCTTATGGTGCACTCAGTAAAACGTTTTTTTTGTGTTATTCTCGATATTGTAGTTTCAGTTTGTAGTCAGTTTACCTAGTTCATTATATTATCATTATTAACAAGGTAATAATATTCAGTCAATTACCGCACGCAGTATCATTCTACGTGGAAATAGGAAGTCAGATACAAAACAAAGGTATTCGCATTGTGATATCTTAGGAGCTTCAGTAATTATTAAACATCAGATAAGCTGATAACTCATTTATTAACACCCAAAAAAAATGTTATTCCATTATTAAATATTATTATGTCCTGTAATTATTATTATTGCTCGTAGAACAGATCGCTGTTGGGGTTAAAAAAAGTTCTCGAGTGGCGACCGCGTATCGGGGGTTGCGGGAATCCCCTAGATCGGTTGTGTTGTCTATGAGCTAATGTCCGGCTGTGGACGTCTTTGAGATGAAATATATGTAAATAGATGTATTTTAAGTTTCTGGAATATTCCAGGTACGCCCCCGAGTCGGCCGTGGAGCCGTGGCACTTCTCGACTAAAAGCGACGTGTGGTCGTACGGTGTAACCGCCTGGGAAATATTTACACGTGCCAGACAAGAAGTTCCTAAGTTCGACGTAGATCGGCCGAGAGAAAGAGCGTCGTGGTGAGGAATCATGTTATGACTTTTTTACTGGTGGTAGGACCTCTTGTGAGTCCGCGCAGGTGGGTACCACCACCCTGCCTGTTTCTGCCGTGAAGCAGTAATGCGTTTCGGCTTGAAAGGCGGGGCCGCCGTTGTAACTATACTTGAGACCTTAGAACTTATATCTCAAGGTGGGTGGCGCATTTACTGTCCGCGCGCGAGCTCCGAGGATTTTTAAGGAATGTTGACGTAATGAGCTAGTGTTGTAATTAGTCGATATTGCGATATCGATACTAACACATCTCAAGCCTCCGTGCGAGTGTAAATTATAAAATAGTTTTAAGAGGGTATTATGTACTTGAAATAAATAAATAAAACAATTGATCACGTATGAATTTCATTTAATGAACTGATTTTTATTGAACAAAATGAACGTGAAATTTTATTAATTACTCTCGCAAGCAGATTAATCAGTAGTTGAAGAATTTGATGTACTCTCCTCTTGATGTCACTCTCCTCACATACTTCAATAATAAATGATTCGACAACATCCTCCATTAAGCCATCCTTTTGCCAGTAATATTCCTCTAATGCTAAGACATGTTTATTATGCTAGTGTTCGCCATTCCTTTTTCAACAAATTAAATAGATATTTGTGCAAACAAAAATACTTATAAGTGTAAGACTATGTATATTAGAAATCACACGTAATTAACACTGCTATCGCAAAATTAAAAACGAGTCGGTAAGCGTACTCTCACGTTAATGTCAACACTAGTACTGGGAGAGTGCGGGGTATGAAGCGACGGTCGGGCGCGGTGCACGCCCGCTTCCTCAGCCCCTGAATCCTCGGAGCTCGCGCGCGGAGTATACGTTGTGGATGTCTATGGGCTTCAGTAACCACTTAACACCGGGTGGGCTGTGAGCTCGTCCACCTATCATAAATAAATCCACCTATAATAAAAAAAAACATACAAGGGTTTTTAAAAAATATTATTTAATGCTTAGTTGGATGGACTAGCTCACAGTCCACCTGGCGTTAAGTGTTTAGCGGAGCCCATAGACATCTAAAACGTAAATGCGCCACTTGCCTTGAGGTATAAGTTGTATCAGTATAGTTACAACGCCTGCAACGCCCTTTAAACCGAAACGCGTTACTGCTTTACGGCAGAAATAGGCAGGGTGGTGGTACTTATCCGCGCGGACTCACAAGAGGTCGTACCACCAGTAATTATACAAATTATGATTTTGCGGGTTTGATTTTTATTACACGATGTTATTCTTTCACCGTAGAAGTTAATCGTGAACATTTGTTAACCAATAGTATGTGAGCCCGGTGTCAAGGAATTCAGTTACGATTTGACGTTTTTTAAAGTCATTTCAGAGTTGATTGCGTATTTTTTTTATCTCATAGTTTTCTGACACGTTAATTCGGGTCATTAATGTAAAACTTTTGATTGATTCATCATGTGGGATATTTATTTTATATATTATTTGGAAGTCAACAACTCTTAAGCGACGCTGTGATTTGAAACTATAGATGTGACGAAAATAAATACAAATGAGTCGACTATTATCAAAGCCGGCAATCTGACTTTTGGACAATTATTGGTAAATCAGAAAAACTAATTATTGACTTTGTATTCCATTGGCAGTCACAAAACTCTTCGGAACGACATCTTAGATAAATAACAGGTTAACTATTAACCTTTATTTAATGCAGGTTTTGAAGCGTATTCTTTGAAGGAGACGATTATATTCAAATCAATCTGTATTGACATATCAATAACATTTTTTTGTCCAAATGCACAGATTGCCACCTTTGATAATAGACGACTCAAATGCAAGAGAATAAATACTTTTGTAACTTTCACTTTTAATGTACACGTACGTCTTTATAATCGCATAGCATTATATCTTGTTGTTTTTGACGTTAAATATACTAATCATTTTGTTTTATTTTTCAGTTTTCAAATACCCGAAGAATGTCCCTCTGAGATATTCAGGTACCTCATGAAGGAGTGTTGGGCTCTCGATCCGAATTTACGGCCAAGGTTTATTGACCTAATACACACATGCAAGAGATTCATAGCGGAATATCAGTAATATTCATATTTTGGATGGTAGTGCAAAATGAATAATGAAGATTCCAAATTCAAAAACGGTCAGAAATTTGCTTAAATCAATGAACAAATATGAAGCATCAAGGTATTGTCTTTGAACGTAATAACTGCTTAGTCCTGTTAGTTCCTCTTGTGATGTAAAGATGGCGCTTTAATTTTAAAAACCCTGACAAATCCTTTTTGGATGAAATTTAGATGTCAATGCATTTAATGAATACGTAAGAGACAGGTTTAATACATAATAATACCTCATTATTAACGAATCTAATATTTATGCTTTAAATATTATTGTATATATAAATATGTTTTCAATTTTTTTAATGTTCTTCTTTACCTTGATAATTGTTGCTTGAAATATCAATGATATAATAAATTAAATAATCTACACATCTTATACAGTTTAGAACTTGAAGATTGGTTTTCAAAAAGTTTTCTAAAGGTTATTTATGTTTACTGTTTATTCTACTCTATTATTTTCTAAATTCACCTGGCGTATCGAACGATCCAAAACTCAGCGTAGCAAAAAGCATGTTTTAAAAACTATCAAATTTCAAAATAAATTTTGACTTAGTAATAAGACTTTTGAAATGAAATCTACAGTTTTAACTGGTTTGAATCACTTAAAGATTTGTATATCACATTTGAACAATGATCTTATTAACTGTCAATTACCAGTTATGAGCTTTAGACAAAACTAGTTTTAAGAATCTAATTAACACGTGTGGTCTTCGATCATAGGTGAATGTATTTGTGTCGGCATGCAAAGTTAAATTAATTATTTTCTACGTAATAATTATTTGCACAAACTATCCGATTTGTTTTTTTTTTGTTTTTGTTTGTGGTTCCTTGAAGCATTTGCCTTTAGCGTATAAATGAGATTTGTTTTGTAATTTTTTTTATTTTTTTATTATTACTCATATTTTTGCCGAAATGTTTTATTTATGGTCTTATTCTAGAACTTATTATTATTATTTTAGTTTTGTGCAATCAATTTAATTATAGTTTTAATTTTTATTGTCATTATTTTATCGATATACGTTTTATTGTTTATATGTTTTTATTTTATTTTAAATAAGCGACGGTTAAACTTGCCGATATCATAGTTCGATACGTTTCGATGTCAATTTTAGTTTAAGGAAAATGCTTAAGAAAATATTCTTGTGAGCTGTTTGACTATTCATAGGTATCTAACGAGACAAGTGTGTCGCTAGAGAACAAAATGATCTATTTATATTAAATCGGTTCTGCCTCGCACTCATTTCTCATGTATAATCATTCAATATAATATAGTCATTCTTCGGTCCATAAGCCATTTTCCCGGAAAATAAACCTTCGCGTCGTAATAATACGATCGAAAAAACATCAAATTGGAAGAAGAATTAAATGCAACTACAGAAATATTAAAGTTATAAGAAGGTCAGATGTAAATTTTACATTTGTGTGCGTGTACTTTTGTACTATTAGTAGTACTCATGAAACATGTGGAATCCGTAAATGTAACTTGAAGTTCTTGACGCTATTGAATTTTTATTCTAACATGAAATACGGAACGTGACTTTCTCTTATATTTGCAAATTCCCGCGCAGACTTTTCAAAATAGAGCAGAACACGGTGATGTCATTTGGGGCCAAAATAAACAGGCTTAAGCATACACACGCACAATGGCTAGATGAAAAACGAATGTTTGAATTATTAGATTTTTTGTAATAGAGACAAATAATAATTGAATAAAGTTTTTTAATTTAATTAGCGTTATCAACTTTAGATCTTTTTGTTTCTTGGCGTCCGATTGTCTTTTGAAACTCTAAAGCTCATCGTTATGTACTGTAGGAAAAAAAGTGACATTAATTTCATAGAATGGTTAATCCCATTGTTGGACTATAGAACCAAAGATGATATTAAACAATTACGTAAAGAATAAAACAAACAGCTTTTAAAATTATAAGATTAAATGTTAAAATTGCATTATAATTATATTTATATCAATTATAAGCGATTTACTTTTGCGACAAATATTTTAGACTTGTAAAAGTTTTTTTAAGGAATAGTGTTATTGTCTATGGTCGTGTGATTGTTTCATAGATGTTTGAAATTATATTTTTTTTATGCGTTATTTGTATTTTAAAGTGATAGAAACATGGGTGATGTGATTAAGACTGTATGCGTTTGAGGGTGCTACAAGTGTAAGTGGGCCTTAGTAGAAATGTGGGACGGAAATGATTTGGTTAGAATTTTAAAATTTTGTCCTAAGAATGTTATATAGCCTCGTTTAAAAGTTTGTGATTTGGTTAAGCATCGACTTTGCTGAATGCTTGGTAAACTTAAAGTAAAAAGTATGGGAAGGACTTGGTATTTTGGTTGATGATTAGCAAATGCTTAAAACGAATGTATGAATAATCTTCACAAGGAAACTTTTTTTTTACAGCTACAAAATGTAACAGAATCATATACACGAGAAGATTTTGTCCAATATTATTAACTTGTGTAACTAAAAACCGTCCTTAAAATTAAGTGATGTTATATCGGTTGACCTGGCCCTAATAGATTTTTTAGCGATGGAAAAGCATGTTTCACCTTTTTTTCATATTCGATTGCAAGTATTTCGGCTATTTGTATAGAAGGGATAAAAAAAGATTGCGTAAAAAGGCTATTAATTTGGAATATTGTTTTATTTGAAAATACGTATTTGTAATTTGAATACAACGAATTTTTAATATCGGATATTTAAATAAAATCATATTAAAAAGGGATGAGATTAAAATTAAGCTATATGTAGGTCGTAATGTTGCCTATTTCTCTAAATATATATTTACTGTGTTTCAAGAAATTTTAAATAAATAATTAATATCCAACGTTTGGAATTTGATATGTTTATGAATGTTGTAAAATAGGCTTGTTGTTAATCTAGTAACTATTATAAATGAGTTTTGATAGAATAATAAGCACAACGCTTACACATTAAGTTTGTTATAAATTTCACTTAAAAATTAAATAAAAATGAAAATACGTCAATGAATTGACAGTCAATTAATTCTTGTGTATTCTGTAAGTGTACATTTAGGTAATTAATTTTAATATTTTGATTGCACCAATGCAAAATACGATACGAAGTTTTGGGAGACTGAATCAATGCAGTTTTGTAAACGTAATGTTGATCAAATGTTTTTACGTACACGTGTGTAAATTTTTAAATATCAATTTATTGCAATAAAATATTTTAATGGATTTTAAGTACCTAGTTATACTTACTTGAATTATTAAAATAATGTTCAAAATTTAAATGTAAATCAAATTCATGTTCTGTGTCCTGAAAATGTCAATGGTGGTAGGACCTCTTGGGAGTCCGCACGGGTAGGTACCACCACCCCGCCTATTTCCGCCGTGAAGCAGTAATGCGTTTCGGTTCGAAGGGTGGGGCAGCCGTTGTAACTATACTGAGATCTTAGAACTTATATCTCGAGGTGGGTGGCGCATTTACGTTGTAGATGTCTATGGGCTCCAGTAACCACTTAACACCAGGTGGGCTGTGAGCTCGTCCATCCATCTAAGCAATAAAAAAAAAACTGGATTATAACTGTAAATTAATGCTACGTCATCACGTGAGATCGATTTGCACAAAGGGGGTTTAGTATAACAAAATTATTGACATAAACTTTTTAATTAAACGTTATTATTTTTACTTTGACCACTGTTGACGTAAAATATGAATAATTATTTTAAAATTGGGACAAACAAATTGAAATGTTGGAAATGTGAAAGAAATATTTTTTGTATTTTTAATAGATTTTTTTTTTAATGCAAACGTTATATCATATGAACAATAATAAACTATACAATAAATCCGAAAGAAACAACTGATAGTTTAAAAAAATCTAATTTGGAATGGTGTATAAATTAATTGTGATTAATTTTAAGTGAATTTGTTTTATATTGAAGACTAGGTGCGTGGTTTTGGAAAATGTAAAACGGATTGGATCGTTTAATACTCATTTAAAGTCATGGAAATATTCATTTCGTAGAAAATACAATCATGCTATTGTATAACGTATTTATAAAACAATAAGGTTAATTTTTTTTTTTTAAATATCAACGAGCAAATTTTTTTGCGTATATTTTTATTTTAAGTCTTAACATTTAATCAAAGTTAATTGAAAAAATAAGTTAAAGGTTTTTATTTCATGTCAGACAGACAGAGAGGGTACTGTTTTGTAAAATGATATCAATGTTCAAGATAGAATTCGTTTTACATTATTCAGAGCTTGACGTTTGTCCTTGTTATTATTGCCATGAAATTTTTAAATAAAGAAATTGATACGTACATATTTATTTTTTATTTATTTAAAGAACAGAACATCTACTAACCCTGATACCCCTGATTCCAAGCTTAAACTATTGACTTATTACTTACTAGCGGCCCGCTCCGGCTTCGCTCGGGTCTTTAACAATTTTTTTAGTAAGCATACCTAATTTTTGTTAAAAAAAAAATAGCCTATGTCACTCGGAGATAGTGTAGCTTCCAAACAGTGAAAGAATTTTTCACATCGGTTCAGTAGTTTCGGAGCCTATTCAATACAAACAAACAAACAAACAAATCTTTTCTCTTTATAATATTAGTATAGAAAAGAAGTTGAACATGAATTTGGATTTTATAATTAGCGGTCGCTGCAGTGGAGAGTATGAGTTTCTTAAAGATTTCTCAGGACGCCATAAAAATAAAAATGAAATGCGGTCGTACCAACAAAGTGAAGTCGTCGTGGCCTAACGGATAAGACGTTCGTTGCATTCGTGTTGAGCGATGCACCGGTGTTCGAATCTCAGGCGGGTATCAATTTTTCTAATGAAATATGTACTTAACAATTGTTCACGATTGACTTCCACGGTGAAGGAATAACATCGTGTAATAAAAATCAAACCCGCAAAATTATAATTTGCGTAATCACTGGTGGTAGGACCTCTTATGAGTCCGCACGGGTGGGTACCACCACCCTGCCTATTTCGGCCGTGAAGCAGTAATGCGTTTCGGTTTGAAGGGTGGAGCAGCCTTTGCAACTATACTTGAGACCTTAGAACTTATATCTCAAGGTGGGTGGGCATTTACGTTGTGGATTTCTATGGGCTCCAGTAACCACTTAACACCAGGTGGGCTGTGAACTCGTCTACCTATCTAAGCAATAAAAAAGTAATCTAAAGCACACACATACACATACAACAAAGAAAATAACTATATAAAACAATAACTTATCCAGATTAACAAAATTTGGATATTATAGTCACAAATTATTGAGGGTAAATTTTATAATGGTGATAATGAAATATTACAATAATTAAATGATGATAGGTATCTTTAAACTATGGTGATTCAGAAGTATAGGATCCTGGGGTACATCGAGGATACTCCAGCTTTTTGGCATGAGATGTGTTTAGGTACAGAGTCTGATTCCGGGACGTTACGGGACGGTCCACGGAGCGTACTCCAACAAATAAATAAAGTCGGGATGACGGGACCATTGGAACCCGATATCACAAATCGGGCACTAATAATTAACTTGAATGGTTATGTACCATTCGTATATAGTTTATTTACGTGTGGACTCTTTACTTCAACTGTTTAGCGCGGTTTCTAAATGACTGGCTATAAGGTTAGCACGCGTTTTTATACAAGCGGGGACAAAATATGTTAAGATGCAGTCCATACCTGAACGCGGGCCGCTAGAATCACTAAAGTGCAGTGCACGCCGATTCATGGGTCGCTTTAAAATTGTGCATCATTTATTAATGTGTTACAGCATAACCTGACTCGACATCCAGATCCAGGTGAGGGAACTCTTCAATGATTAGCAGCGCAGAAATGTATACGTATTCAATTAGGATACAGTTAACCCTCCTATAACATGGTAGATACGTTCCTACTAAGCCCCGTGTAGTGCGTAACCGTTTTATATGAGACTAGAAGTCAATACAAAAAGGAGAGTATATTT